CACCTATCTACAGTGAAGTCCGCCTGTGAAGGGAGTATTGGTAGTCACTTACTACTATAGTTGAAATCTGCCCAGAAGATCAGGTATACAGCCGTTATATCCCCATCTGGTGTGGGAATTTGGTCAGGTGATTAAATGTTTGGTCATGATCACACTCCGAATGTGTCTTTGGTGGGCTGGCTAGAGTGGTGAGAATTGGACTTGTTATTCTCTTCTTTGTCACCGAATTGTTAACTTTCGACTTTCTTGTGCGTCAATAGTAAGTTGTTATAACTTTACTTTGAAACTTTCTCAGATCAATGAGAGGGGAAGGGACTTGTTGTGTCAAAGACTAGTCAATTGTTGACAGTTAAATTAACATTCCATCATCTTCTGTTTTTAACTTCGAGGGAAATGTATGGGAATAAAGAAAAGTTTCTTATAACTTGTCTTTTTGTTAAAAATGATAGAAAAACAGCTCCTAGATTCTCACATTAATCTTTATACAAGAATGTGGCTTTAATTACAAAGGGTATTTTTTAAATAAGGTCCATTTTTTATTACGAAGAAAAATACTGTAAATATCATTAAAATATATTTTTTCCCATATTCTACATACTTTTATCTACTTTTCTACATAATTTCCATTTTTGATCAAACATTTATCATACTGCTCAACAATTTTTTGAATTCTGACTTCAAAGAAATCTGTTGCCTGCTGCCAGAAGACAGTAGGCCATGCCACTTGTTTTGTATGGCCAGCCAAAGTTTTCTCAAGGTCACACAATACGCATCAGAATTGATTGTTGTGCCTCTCAGCATAAAATCCACTAGCAAAATCCCTTTCCTGTCCCAAAAGACAGTTGCCATGATCTTTTGTGTTAAAATCAAATAACACATAGTATCCCACAATTGGCGGGCAACTCAATTTTTTTAAACATTATAAATTCTTACAGCTCAGCATACAAACAGACAATATGGCTGCAAATGGCATCTAAATGTGTGCAAAGTATGCTGGGAGCAGACACTCATGCACACTGCTGTGATTGCATGTCATTCTCACTCTCATTCAACAAATGGATCTTATTTAAAAAATAGCCCTTGTAATTAAATATAGCCTGAAAAATAATCCAGTAGTTTAGGCTTAAGTTCAGTTCAAGACAATAAATAAAACAAATAGTAAACTCATTGGAATGAAAGCAGCTGTAAGTGGAATGAAAAAGTGGAATGAATTAATATATTCTTTACTGCTGGTTTAGTACAAAAATGTAGTAATTTGTTTGAGTTAATTTTTGTAAAAATAAGTCGTTATTAAGAAATAAGTTTTTGTTTTTATTTGTGAAAAAATGAATAGAATAAATTTATGTACAAGACCAAAACCCAAATTTGTTGCAATATTTTGTCCAAGATTCAATCAATTGCACCATCTACAAACTGTATAACAAAGTCAAACTAGTTATCAAATATCATTAATTCATCATTTTATTAATTCTTAATTCAATAATTATTAATTAATTTGAAAAATTTATGATTTTTGCAGTAAGGAATAGGTTTAAACCTAATCCTTACTGCACTAAATGAATTAAGTTTAAACCGAATTCATTTTTAGATTCTAACTGCACCATGACAATGCAAACCCACATGTTGCTGATGTGGTGATTTGAGTTTATTTGCCAAGCAAAACATCTTTTATGTCCCATATCTACTGCACAACTCTAGATTTGAAACCCTGCTACTTTTTCTTATTTATTGCACTGAATTTGAGACTGTAGGGAACAGAATTCCCATTGAGAACAGCAATGGTGAAAGCATCAAAGGAAATTATGATCATCATTGCAAAGAATGAATTACTATATGTCTTCAAAGACTGACATGACTTTAAATTTCATGAAAAATACACACACAAAAATGCTATGTCTCAGAGAAACTAGTCCTCTAGATCATATGAAGAGAGAAAACAGTCTCAATTTGTTTAGACTAGTTCTCATAATGATATAAATATGATTAATTTAGTTTTTCTAAAATAAAATATAATGCCTTACAGTATACACAATATAAACTACAATAGTATCTACAAAATAATTTGCATACATTGTACTCATGATACATTAGTATTATAATAAATAATATGTATAGGTAATATTCTCTTAGAGTTCTACTCTGTAATGCACACATATGTAAGAAATGAATTTAAATAAATACTTTGATAAAAAAAATAAATTTATATGCTATTTAATTTTTCATTTATTGTTTACTTCTATTAATTTTTATGCTCACTTATATCCAAAATTAATCTAATTATACAAAATCATTTTTATTTTATGTTACAACCTGAAAATGGAAATAAAATGCCTGTAAATATTTAACTATTTGAAAAAATTATTAAATAATTTATAGCTTCGATAAAAANAAATTATAGCATAATTATAATATAGAATTTAGCTGCTGTTCAGCCAAAAAATTCTATACAAATATCAACATCTAAAGCCCAATAGTTATAATGATTGCCAGGTTATATTGGGTTATATTACTATTACTATTAATAATTCATATGGAAATAAATATTGTTGTGTGTAATCTGCCCCAAATGATTAACTATATACTTAAAATATTCTGAAATTTACTTTTTTTCAATAATTTCTAAATTAACTATCACATCATTTATATATATGTAGGTCACTTACTAAGACATGGCAAAATTTTTTGTGCAAGCAAATGTGTTGTTATACAAACATTTCAAAATATACATATGAAAAAACACAATGTACTCTACCAATTATGTCTGTTAGATGGGTTACTCAGGAAGTATTGTGAACAAGGAAGGAAAAGCAAAAAAACAGAACTGAAACTAGTTGTTTCATTTCTTGCATATACCTTATAATGTTGAACACTATTCTGCATACACATTAATAACCTTCAAAGTAATCTCCAAGGCAATCAATCATTCACTGCCAACAATGAGGAAGGCAATGAATACTATCCTCTCCTCCAACATCCAATCTGGTAATCTTGTGTTGCACTATGTTGACAATGTCTTCTCATGTACGAAATCATTTCCCACATAATGGAGCTTTCAATTTGAGTATCAAATTGTAATCTCAGAGTGAAAGATCTGGGGAGTAGGGAGATGATATAGTACTTCCCGTCTCCAGTGCTGTAAACAATTGTTAACACACTGTACAGTACGGACTGTAACATTATCCTGAAGGATGGTTGCATTGTGCAACAGCTCAGGACATTTATCCCGGATTGCATGACATAGGTTATGCAGATAAGCAACAAAATAGGCTACATTAACAGTTTGACCATGTGAAACAAAATGACACAAAAGAATTCCTTGAATATCATACATCAAAATGATCATTAACTTCACCAGAGATGAATTTTGACAGATTTTGTGCTTTTGGAGCAATTCTGGGTGTCACAATTAAGCAGACTGACGTTTGAGCTTGGGTTCATAGGCCCTGGCCAAGGTTTTGTCAATGGCAATGATCCTGTTCAACATGGCATCTCTTTCATGTTTATATTGTAGGTTCACACAACATGTTTTGTAACATGTCCACTTTTGGAGTTCTGTCAGTGCATTTGGTACCCATTTGAGAGACATTTTGTGCATGTTTATATTGTTTCATAAAATTTTATGCACAGTTGACTGGTCAATACCTGTTTGTGTTGCCAACTCCTGCAGAGACAATCATTTGTCGTCCAGTAAGCATGAGCAACATTGGTACAAGGCATGTCAACAGTTGTTACTCTTCCATATTTAAGAGCTGCCACCCTTAAAACTTTGTACTTTGTGGAAAAAACCACAGGGTGCACAGGGTGGAAAAACCACCCTGTGGTTTTTCCACAAAGTACAAAGAACATTCCCTTAGGTTTTTTCCACAAAGCACTGCAATTTTTACATACACATGCTGTTCCAGTCGACTCACATCCATACTGAATGATAGTCAAAACCCAACTGACTTTGCACTCTGCTTTCATTGATGTTCTGGAACATCCACACAATCTAGCAGTATGTCTCAATGTCATACTGGATGTTGGAAAACCTGAATTGCAATGTTGAATTTTGCAGAAAAAAATACTACCATGATTTAGTAAGTGACACATGTATTTAGCATTTTTGTTATACTTTAATATTAATTAAAATTTTAAAATTATCCTGCAATCACATGCAGTTTTTTTTACAGGATTGCATGCATAAAGCAGTGACTTTCTGCTGATTTTTCACAAGTAATTATGCTGAATGTAATTGCTGTTCTTCAAATTTGTTGATTCTGAAAAATCCTATAATGTGTCTACTCTGCATTGCAAAACTTCAAAGTCACACATTGTTTAGTTTACAGAACAATGTCCTTGATCAGGTTCCCATAGGGGATCTTACAGTACAAACTTTGCAATAGCGTGAGCTATTGTGAAATAACTTCAGCTGGAAATAAATAACAGGAGGGCTGAGCTGTTTCTCAGGAAAACCAGAAATACAATTTTTCTGTATTTTTCAAGCATGAAATAAACCAGCAAAAATATTTAAATTTAGAAAGGTTTTAGCACCCAGACTATCTTTTTGATATAAGCATTCAAGGTCCTAGTAACTTGCAGATTGCACATGTCATTATGACAATATTAGCTGACAAATATCCATGTTGTTATGATTACTTGTTGAGGCAACTGTGAGAGACCTCCATGATGTCATTTCTGATGACATCAGGACACTGAAAATGATATCAGAATGGAAAATGTCTGACTTATGCATATAATTGTGTGACAATATATAAAAATTATACATGATTGCATGTATAAAGCAGCAATTTTCTGCAGTGGTTTTTTGAGAGTCTGTAATAAGAAAAAAATTTTTTTGACAGTTTTTACATAGTTATATGGATATCATAAAAGTACAGCTAAGTAGGTCAATTTGGTGAAAAATGCCTGTGAAAAACTGGTAGATGTGAAAAAAAAAATCACCACTATCTAATATGATTGACAGTTAACTATAAAAAATTTATTATAAAATTTATTTTTACCTGTGTAAGTTCAATTTGTTCATGTAATTCTTGTGATTCAATTTTTGTATTTGATTCTGTTGACATTTTATCATCACCACTCCGACCTCCTGATAAATCTACACCTGCAGCACACCATATCTATAAAGAAAAAAATTACTTTTGTTTGAAACTAGCTAAAATATTCAATAGAGTTTTGTATAATCAGAATTCATAACACAAAAATGAAAATTATTGCATATGAAAGCAGAAAAAAAAATATATTGTTTAAAAGAGCCACTACTTTTTAAATATCAGTGTTATCATAAATAATCATCAAGCTTAATTTATTAATATTAATCCAAATACCTTTAACCTAACAAATTCGACAGTTAGATAGTGCTGTTATAATGTAATGTAATTCTTATAGTTTTAATGTTATATATGTAATGTTTGATTTCTTCATATTACTTTTGTTTTTCATTCTTTAATACAGTAGAATCTATTTATAATCTTTGGGACTAACCTATACTAATAACATTAATCAAAATAAGTAAATAATACTAGAATTAATGCTTTGTTTATGTGTTAAATACTTATTTTATTGACTCTGACATCAAAAAACACATTAAAATATTTAAAATTTTATATAACTCAAAGTTTATAAAACTCTATAATTAATTAGTATGTAATTCATTTAATATTGTTTACCCTCTATTACCTTTAATAACAACCAGTAGATCAAGTTAAAAAAAATGCTAAAAATTTAAATAATTCTATTGTGAGTAAATTGTGAGAACCTGGGCTAACCAGAGGAAAGGTTATTCAAAAATGTGTTAAAATAACATTTTTTTTCAACTCTCAACAAAGATAGCATAGATACCATTCAGGAAGTGATAATACTAACCATGGATTTGCTTCCTTTACAAAAGTGACACATCTTCCGAATGACTGTTCATTGGGAACCATACACTGAATTCATCTATTGGAGTAGCAAACAACATGACCAAAAATGGGCATTGGAATTAAGGGAAAGGACCCCAAATAAAAAGGAAAACGAATGACAACAACAAGAATTTGTCAATCCTCTCTTGGTGAAAGGTGGTCTTGCCAACTCTGCCACTTAGCCTGTTTACTGCCAACCACTGCAATATGCCATTTGGCTATATAATGGCATACAGCAATGGTTGCCTTTATTATTATTATAATGTATCGGGTTTTCGAAAAGTTGTCTGTTTACTCCCATTTGTCAATCTACCTGCTACCCAAACTGTCCAGCACCAATCAACCTTATCCAACTTATCCAGTACTAATTCAAATGTTATCCAGATGGTCAAGTGCCAATCCACCATGTCTGAAGAAATGGAAGAAGGAAAACAGTGCATCTGTTCAATTTTGTTAACTCTCTCTCTCATGACTGAATAGACTCTCCTATCATGATCCGTGGATGTAACATTGTAAGGTCTTCAGTTTAAATAAATGGGGTATCAGATTTGTTAAATGCATAGTGAAGTGCATTATTTCTGGTGTGCTGTCTCTGGACCTCCTCCATCCTGAATTCAACCACTTACATATGTGACTGCTCACATGAGTTAACCAAATGGGTTTAACAGTCACAATAGTGTCAATCCTGATGTACAAATTACGTTGGCAATGCTTACATCAGGATCATTTTAATCATAATTTTGTGACCGTAGGGTCAGCACCACAAAATTATGATTAAAATGCTTAACATTTAACATTTAAAGCTAAAGTACTAGTTAAGACTGATAATGATTAGTTTTTAGTTACATATTGAAGTTAGAAGTTTGAAAATGGCTTAAAAATTCTATATACAGGAAGATAGTGATAATAATAAAACTTTGATTACAATAAGTGAGATTTTATAAGTGTTTTTTAACTTATATGTTTTGGGGCCTGCTAAATTTGATAATATTAAACAACTAATAACAACATCTATGACTACAAAAAGCAAAGTCTGTTGTAATTTCTGATAGTTATTTTGAATCTTTTGTTATTAAAATATCAATATAACTACTTTTCATATTCATGTCTGAACTAATCATTCTAATCATTACATTTATTCATTACTTAAGTTATAATTATAATGGTTCCTCATACTTCAAAAGACTAACTTCAAATATAATAGAGTTTGAATGCAGGATTCAAGAAAAATCCAGTCTGGAGTTTGAACAATACATCTACATTCAAACTGCATGCACAGTGAAAAAATATGTGATATGTTGTACACCCACATAAGAGCAAGAAATGACTTCTCTCTCGCTGTGAAAGCATCTCTTGTGTTTATTCTTATGTTTTCAGTGCTTTTTTTGCTTTATTTTTGGTGTGTTTGGATATATATATATAATTAATTCCTAAATCTTCTGATCTGAATACTGGTATTTTGCATAAAATCGTACTTACTAAACCTTTATTGTCTGGTACTTCTTAACTATTTGTAAAAACAAACGTTTTAGGCCTCAGTCGAGGTCTCTTTCAGATTAAAAGGACAATCGGATTCCATTCTTAGAATGAATGTTTAGTTTTAAAATATTTGAACTCATGCACGTGTTATGTATTGTCATCATTTTCTTGTTATTTGCATACGTAGCGCCAAGCATAAGAAAGCATGTTGCCATCTTTGGTGTTTATACATCTCCCTGTCCGGCCAGCTTTGTAAATTTCCAGTGCTTTNTTATATAACTCAAAGTTTATAAAACTCTATAATTAATTAGTATGTAATTCATTTAATATTGTTTACCCTCTATTACCTTTAATAACAACCAGTAGATCAAGTTAAAAAAAATGCTAAAAATTTAAATAATTCTATTGTGAGTAAATTGTGAGAACCTGGGCTAACCAGAGGAAAGGTTATTAAAAAATGTGTTAAAATAACATTTTTTTTCAACTCTCAACAAAGATAGCATAGATACCATTCAGGAAGTGATAATACTAACCATGGATTTGCTTCCTTTACAAAAGTGACACATCTTCCGAATGACTGTTCATTGGGAACCATACACTGAATTCATCTATTGGAGTAGCAAACAACATGACCAAAAATGGGCATTGGAATTAAGGGAAAGGACCCCAAATAAAAAGGAAAACGAATGACAACAACAAGAATTTGTCAATCCTCTCTTGGTGAAAGGTGGTCTTGCCAACTCTGCCACTTAGCCTGTTTACTGCCAACCACTGCAATATGCCATTTGGCTATATAATGGCATACAGCAATGGTTGCCTTTATTATTATTATAATGTATCGGGTTTTCGAAAAGTTGTCTGTTTACTCCCATTTGTCAATCTACCTGCTACCCAAACTGTCCAGCACCAATCAACCTTATCCAACTTATCCAGTACTAATTCAAATGTTATCCAGATGGTCAAGTGCCAATCCACCATGTCTGAAGAAATGGAAGAAGGAAAACAGTGCATCTGTTCAATTTTGTTAACTCTCTCTCTCATGACTGAATAGACTCTCCTATCATGATCCGTGGATGTAACATTGTAAGGTCTTCAGTTTAAATAAATGGGATATCAGATTTGTTAAATGCATAGTGAAGTGCATTATTTCTGGTGTGCTGTCTCTGGACCTCCTCCATCCTGAATTCAACCACTTACATATGTGACTGCTCACATGAGTTAACCAAATGGGTTTAACAGTCACAATAGTGTCAATCCTGATGTACAAATTACGTTGGCAATGCTTACATCAGGATCATTTTAATCATAATTTTGTGACCGTAGGGTCAGCACCACAAAATTATGATTAAAATGCTTAACATTTAACATTTAAAGCTAAAGTACTAGTTAAGACTGATAATGATTAGTTTTTAGTTACATATTGAAGTTAGAAGTTTGAAAATGGCTTAAAAATTCTATATACAGGAAGATAGTGATAATAATAAAACTTTGATTACAATAAGTGAGATTTTATAAGTGTTTTTTAACTTATATGTTTTGGGGCCTGCTAAATTTGATAATATTAAACAACTAATAACAACATCTATGACTACAAAAAGCAAAGTCTGTTGTAATTTCTGATAGTTATTTTGAATCTTTTGTTATTAAAATATCAATATAACTACTTTTCATATTCATGTCTGAACTAATCATTCTAATCATTACATTTATTCATTACTTAAGTTATAATTATAATGGTTCCTCATACTTCAAAAGACTAACTTCAAATATAATAGAGTTTGAATGCAGGATTCAAGAAAAATCCAGTCTGGAGTTTGAACAATACATCTACATTCAAACTGCATGCACAGTGAAAAAATATGTGATATGTTGTACACCCACATAAGAGCAAGAAATGACTTCTCTCTCGCTGTGAAAGCATCTCTTGTGTTTATTCTTATGTTTTCAGTGCTTTTTTTGCTTTATTTTTGGTGTGTTTGGATATATATATATAATTAATTCCTAAATCTTCTGATCTGAATACTGGTATTTTGCATAAAATCGTACTTACTAAACCTTTATTGTCTGGTACTTCTTAACTATTTGTAAAAACAAACGTTTTAGGCCTCAGTCGAGGTCTCTTTCAGATTAAAAGGACAATCGGATTCCATTCTTAGAATGAATGTTTAGTTTTAAAATATTTGAACTCATGCACGTGTTATGTATTGTCATCATTTTCTTGTTATTTGCATACGTAGCGCCAAGCATAAGAAAGCATGTTGCCATCTTTGGTGTTTATACATCTCCCTGTCCGGCCAGCTTTGTAAATTTCCAGTGCTTTAGAGCTCTGATGTGATCCATATGAAAAGCTCTATTTATTAATGTGGCATTGGATAGTTCTGCGTGAATATCCGGGTCAGTTGTGTAGGTGGATAGGGCAGTGGTGTAATGAGCATGGTCTATGTCATATTTGTGCTCCTTAATCCTCTGTTGGCTGGAACGCTTTGTGGAGCCAATGTACACCATTTCTCTCTTAATTCTATCACCTCTCACAGGAATACTATATACCCCCAGAGCCCTAAGATCATTCTGTTTGTCTTTTGCATTATGTAATAATTGATATATATTGGGGGATCTTCAGTACTCTACACTGGTGTTCATTTTAGTTGCAATTTCTTTATATAACACTTGAAATTGTTTGTTGTATTCAACGATGTTGCGTTTTCTGGTTGGATGCTGACTAGTCCTTTGAGTAATGGGTGCCTCCTGTGTATCACATGTTCGGAAATAGGCATGTGATATCCCTCATATTAGTTCTTTTTTGTATCCATATGCCACTGCGATGCATTTTATATTTTGTAGTTCAATTATGGTGTCACTCCACTTAGAAGGGTGCGTATATGCTCTTCTAACTAACACCTATACTTTTTTCACTATGCAGCTGCACAGTGACCGCAATAAATAGGGCATCACCATTCCCTATTTATACCACAATAAATAGGGCATCACCACTAAGGTATAGTGAATGCAATTTTCATTGTATTATACAATATTTATGTATTTTATTTATTATTTTCATGTTTTAATTTATTATTTAGGGCATTTAATAGTGTTGTTTTAAACTTAAATTATGTGTATTTGCTGTTTACATTTATTGGAATGGGTATTGTTTACAGTCTGGAAACAGATTAATTCCCTTTCCATTATTTCTAATAGAAAAAAACTTATTTGGACTTTGAACATTTCAAAGTTTAAATGGCTTCCTGGAATGAATTAAATTCAAAGTACAAGGCACTACTATCCTTGTTACTTCATAATAAGTCAAGAGTGAATTTTATTATTCTGAAATAGACAAACTACTATTTTTACAGTAGTTTGTCTATTTCAGAATTTCATGCAGTTATTGAAGCCGATATAGTTTTATTATATTAGATGTCATATAATAGTTGATTCCCTAAAATTTAAAATTATGTATCAAACTAACCTTCATTCCTTGTTCTTTTTCAATCAAAGGACGACAATACACAGGTACTGGCACTGGAACATGATTACTTAATTTAGATTTATTCTCAGTTTCAAAATTGCTAGGTTTTGAAGATGTTGACTTTCTATACGGAAGACTCCAACCATATGCTTGCATACGTCCATCTTCTTTACGGACATGAGCTCGTACTTGTTTATATTGTTCTCTTCTTTCCTTTGCTCTTTGCTGTTGGAGCCTTTCAGATGATCTAAAGAATTTTCATTAATAAAATAAGTTAATTCCATTTCTATAAATAGCTTTAACAAAGATATAATTTAGTCATTATAATTTCTCATAATGAACACAAGAAAAGTTACACACATATATACATACACACTAAAACAATACAAATTGTGATCTTTAAAAAGAAACATAACTACATTTTAATGGCAGTGGTGTTTCTGTAACTTTGAATCATAAATTGATTTAATAGTAGATATCATGCTGGAAAGTTGAATCCTCAAGTCTACTCCAATATTGTATCTTTGTTTCAGTATAAAAGGAAAAGCCAGTCTCATGTAAATAAGTTGATGTAAAAGAAAATGCTCAAAACTACACATTTAGGCCATATTAAGGCACTCTTCTAACACACTATACTAAAAATTATTTAGCAGAAGTTCCTTAAACTTTTGTTTTAAATTAGAGTCAAGAATTAAATAAATTAGGTTTTCATAATTGTACATAGTGAATCAACTGGTTTGATTGTAATTATAAATAGATTTCAAATCCAAAAATTATCATTGTTGGTTCTTTGAAAATATTCTAATAAAGATGACTAAGTTATGTAAGTGCTGTATAATTGCACTAGAAAACTTCATAGATTCTATCAGAAATTCCTGTAACATGAGGAAGCAATCAAAGTTATTTAGCTGTAAAGATATCCCAAATTCTTCTTAAAAGATTATATCCATTGTATTAAAAAATGTCCCAGTCTTTCCCTTGTAGTGATTAACTTTATTGAATCTTGAAAAAAATATGTTATACTAGTCTCATTTTTCACAAGGAATTTGTCATTCATTAATTCATTAACTTGAGTTATCAGAAATCGAGAATACTACTAGTCACTATAAAGTTCAAAAATTTCTCGGGTAGCATGTTAATTAAAATCAAAATATTAATATTTTTGAAACAATTTAGCTTTGTGCTTAGAATACAATAATTTTAAAAAATTCTAAAACATCATTTCTCAAATTGTGGTCTCCAAAAAACTTAAAAATTTGAATATAAATTAATAAAATTGTTTTATAAATTAATTTATTTCTAATAAAAATAAATTCTACATTTTTACAACTTAGATATTACTTAATATTTCACAACAATCATCAATACGATGAGACATTAAGATGTCATAGAAACTGTTATATATGCATGACATTTACATACAGCTATACCTCAGAATCCAAATTTCCATCACAAAATGAATTAGTTCTTTAGTAGTCTCTGGGAAATGTAATAATCTAAACAGTTTTTCCCAGATTACGGACAAAACTTCTCAATACTTATACAGTTTATTTCAAAATCATTTTAATACGAGCCTCAGATCAGTAAATCAGCTTCAAAAAATCATAAAAATTATGCAAATAACACAAAAAGTAATATTCAATTCCAAAAGAATTCAAGCAACTCAAAATAAATATTCTACTGCTCTAGAATATGTTTCTAGAGCAGTAGAATATATTGTATTATATTTAAATCTTATATCCTGGAGTATTTGTTAACAATACTCCAGAATATAAGATTTAAATATAATATTTGAATAAATAAAATTTTACCATAAAGTATAACATTCTAAAATCATAAAACAATCAAACAAAAGATTCTATTTTTAGAATAAATATAATAATTACCTTTTCTTTGTCCAATAAGCCAACAAAGCATATTGGAATTACTAAAGAAACATAATTACTAAAATCATCAGCAAATAAATGTATCTCAACACCTTTGCCTGCTGAGAGACATTTATTTGCTATACACTAACATTTTCAGCATAATGCATAGGCCATCCTCAGGTGCTATACTTTTGGAACATTAGTTACAAACTAGTCCAAAACAGAATACAATAAATATAAAATATCAAAACATTAAATTTTTAAATATAAACATAACATCCAATTGCTCATAAAAGCAACATTTGAAACAATTTGTAACTAAATGTTCCAAAAATATGTCACCTTAGTATGGCATGTGTATTAGGCTGTTAGTGTACAACAAATAAATAAATGTGTCTCAGCAGCCAAAAGTCTTTAGTGATGATTTTAGTTATTATTCTTTCTGCTGAGTGTGGATTTGGTTGAAAGAAACATAAACTGAGATTACATAACACATATGGTTCCATCATCATTACTGAAATTCCAGACATAAGTTGAACCACTTTTGTATTTTATACATGCTCTTTGATTACTAGAAATAAGCACTATTTACTTAGCCTTCATCCCAGAATGTTGGTACCAATTTTTGGTCATTACCAATAAATTCAAAAATTCAATCATCTTTCTTCTATGATTATTGAAATTTTTGAAAATCAACTGTATTTTATGATTAAAGATGTCTTACTAGACTACAGTATATAACCAGGGTGGCCAAGCTCCTTGATAGTCCGAGCCATTTTTCAAAATTTGAAATTTTTCGCGAGCCGCAATTAAATACGTATTAAAAAGGTATGCAAAAAATTCCAGATTACAAATTATATCCTTAGCAAGAGTGATACAAATTGTTTCCTCCAGAGCACAATGTCAACTGTCTGTTGCAATGACAGTTTACAAATTCAAAATCGGTCTGGAGTCGGTCGATAACGGACGATTACGCCACTGTTTATGTTCGTTCGCGCAGTTTTCGATGAGTCATATCATTCTTAACTTGGACAAAAATGAAATTTGTTACAACGTTGCACTTAGTCTTTCATATTTGTTGTTAGTAATTTAAAAGACATTTTGAAACACATACGGAAGGATAATAATTTTTTAAAATATAATAACACAAAAATGAAAAGGAAACTCGGGTACATTTATCGAGAGCCACAAATAATCCTTCAAAGAGCCGCATGTGGCTCGCGAGCCGCAGGTTGGCCACCCCTGGTATATAATATAATAAGGTTTCAAAACAAATCAATGTTCTGAAACTTATTAATAAAGATGAAAATACTTTCTGAATCAGCAGACCTTGATCTATTTTATGTATTTTAAACAATGATATGTTTTAACACTTACATAACTACATTTTTACTATAACAATTTATTAAATAAAAGCAATTATTTGAAGAACTTACAAATCACTATCTAAAAAATCCAAACCACGATGTCTGTCTCCTAATCTTTTCTTTCTCATCATATCTAATGCTGGACTAGAGTGAGTTGGTGCATTATAACGAACATTAACATATGGCATTTGTTTTCTGGGTGGTTTCTCATTTGGGTTAAATAAATTTCCAAAGCTGCAAAACATTAAGATTATTAATTTCAAGTTTACTTGTTAATCCTTCAAAAATATCACAAAAGTTTTAAAAATAACACATTACAACATCTAAAATTTTAAATGCATAGTAAACTATAATTTACTAAATACCTATACTTTTAGATATTATAATGTATATCAAAATTTTAATATCAAATCTCAAACCTTTGATATTAAAATTTTAATAATGAACATCATAGAAATTAATTATTATTGCCTTACTGTCCTTATTCAATTAATTATTATATATTTGTCAACATGGACATTAATCATTAACAGGACAATTATACTGGTGTTAAACAATACCTGTATACAGGTAACTTAATAAAGAAAGTCTGTTTTCTTTAAGAACTTTCCCCAATTCTTGTGTAAATGTTTATCACTAGTATAATTGTCCTGTTAATGATTAATGTCCATGTTGACAAATATATAATAATGATAGAAATTAAATTTTTTGATATATCAAAATATACCAAAATATTTCTTTTCTGTATTTTTGATATTTTATAAGTATATCAAACAAGCACCTTAAATAATCAGGCTATACATCTGCTATTTTAATGATTAATACTAGGTAATATGCTCCTAGAAGTAGACATTAGAAGCCATCTCTTATCTAAATTAATAATTATAATTTTAATAATTTATTAAATAATTTAGAATCATCTGGAAGAAAAGATTTAATAAATTATTAAAAATATTATTATTAATTTAGATAAGAGGTGGCACTTAACGTCTACCTCTAGTAGCAAATTATTTAGTATTAACATTAAAATAGTGGATTTATTATCCTGCTTATTTAAGGCAATCATTTGGTTATGACAATATTTTAGTTATTCTCAACATAGATATTTTGAATCAAATATCAAATTATTGTTTTAATGAGATACAAAACATTATTTTACTGGATATAAGGTTCCTTTATAAATATTGTTTATTCTGATATTTATAAAAGAACCTTTTTTCTTTTTGATATATTGCTTTTTTGTTACATATATACTTTATATTTCTGTATTTACATAGCATATAATCTAAGTCACAGATGTATTTAACTGTGGTAATTTAAATTAATTAATAATATCTGCTTGAGTTTAAGATGTCAAACAAGAAAAACCGGCAATAAATATTTTTGGAACTTCTTGATTTCAGCAGCAGACTGAATTTTGAATTTGAAGGTTTAGTTGATGGAACAAAATATTCTTGAACCAGCATACAAATTTTAAAAAGTTTTTCAAACAAGCTTTTCAAAGAAAACTTCACTTTTTTACGTTTAATGACAAATAATAAAAGATAAAAAATTTTTTGTAAATAATATAAAATGAGATGTTCAAAAAAATAAAAATGAAATATAAATAATATAAACCTTTTTACAATGTTAATCAGACAAAATGTATTAATCAAAAAACACATTAGAGATACTGATATATAGTTATTTGGCAATTTTAATTAAAAGTGTATTAGATGCCAGCAAAGACTAGTGAGTCTCTATTACTAATTTACAAAATACATAGTTAACTAGAACCAATGAATCAGGCTTAATTAAATTTGTTGTGAGTATGATAATAATAATTGATTCTAATAATAATATTAATAATTAGTTCTAGTTAACCATGTTTTTTGTAAACTAATAAGTCTCATTTCATTTCTAAATGCTGTCATTTAAGAAGACTTGGGCACTTTTTAACTTTGAGAAAGATGTAGTCCAGTGATCAATAAACTTATAGAACCATTTATAATTACAAATTTTACATCATAACTCATAAAACATGCTTCTGGTATTATGAAATTTTTAAAACTTTTAAATCTTTTTTGTTTCTTTTGTTGACTGTTTCAAGTTATCCTCCAAATAAAGTAGTTTGAAATAGTTTTATTTTTTATGTCAATTCAACTTCTTCTTGAGTAACTTGAAACACTTATAGTATAGTATAATATAATTTTCCTTCTTTCACTCATTTACTTTTTTCCTTGTTTGTTTACTAAAACTTATGTGATAGTTTTTCTCAAAAGCTACACTCAGATCTTCAATCTTATTTTTTCACACTTAATGTCTTTTTACAGAAATAAATAAATAAATAAAAATAAACAGGAAAATTGTAGAAAATTCTATTTAAAAAGAAAAAGAAAAAAAAAACACAAAATAAATTAGGATTTTAAAATTCTTCAATTGCAAATGAAATAATTTTGTAAAAATTGACTAGGAGATTTAAAGAACATTGAAGACAATACAAAAAGACTTTATATTAATTCCTTTAATCAAGAGAAGACCTAACAAGAGATTTCATATCCAAAACAGTAAATAGAAATCATCACTGACAAGCTAATTTTAAATTTTGCTTGGCTTTTTTATCATTTGAGAGAATCATCTTTCCACATTTCAATGGACAAAGATGCTTTTCCTTTTCTGTTAATGATGCCCTTTATTTTATCATGCTTTTTTCAAATTCATAGAGATTCCTCATTTTCTTCCTTTAACTACTACTTTTAATTTCATAATCAGCATATATTCTTCTACTTAGTTTCCTTTTATATTTCCCTGTCTGTCAAACAAAAACTGAAAATTGAATTTTGTTAAATACAGTAAAATAGTTGCAGAAATTGTCAATGTCTTCCAATAATGTCTGAAGTTTCATTCTGAATTTAAATTTTTATATATTCTCTCTCTTACAATTTTAGATAGGTTTCATCAAACTTTATCAACTAAAAACTGTTAGATACATCAAGATTCACCAAGTCAAATATCAATTGATTAGCAACAATATGTTAGAACTACAGATAGAGTTTTATGACTTGTTTTCATTTCCTTTTATTTTGAAATTTTTAACGAATATTGTTAAAAATTACTTAATTGTAATTTTCAACAAGCCAACTTCATTAATGAATTCTCTATACCTAAGCAATAAAGATATTGACTACTATTTGCTTATGCTAAACAACAGTACCACCCTACATAGGGGAAAATATAAAAAGTTTTGTCTCGAGTCAGCCAAAATTATAGTATTTTATAAGGACTTTTCTGCTAAAACTGTTGAATTTTTGTTTTACATATTAAAAGTTTTGAATAAGAAATATTTATATACAGACAATCAAACATGAATTATTTATCTAATCATAAAGCTGAATATTGAGCCACCATCTTTCCCAATAGTATTTATATTTATAAGATTTTTTTACAATACAATGACTTATGATGCAAGCTCCATGAAACTACTGGTATAAAGCAATAAAAATAATTTCAACCATATGTAACTACCAACAAACCAGCATGAAATCAGTATGAATGGAGGAAAATGTTTGTTTTTTGCTTGATTAAATCTACTTCGTGCTGGTTTGTCAGTAGTTATATAGGACTGAAATTATTTTTATTGACTTATGATGTGTTTTGTGAATACAATAATTCTTGTATCTGGCAATTTATGATTAATTTTGTCATAACATATGATATGAAGTGTTTGTGAATTCAGTTCTTGCTTGTCAAAAAATTTAGCTAAAATTTTTTCTCTTTTGTAAATTTTTTAAAAAATTTACACGCATGTAACTATTTTGTTATTATTATTAAAGTTATTTAAAGAAATTGTATATATTTAAAAATCTTATCTTAGTATTTTTATTTACTTTATAGGCTTGATGAATATTCAAACATATTTTACATAAAATAAGCAAATACATTCAAATGTTATAATTTAATTGTAGATTCCTTCAAAAGCTGAAACCTTTCTACTAAGCCACAATAGATCACTTCCTGATGCTGTTTTCTGAATGCTATAGAACATTATAATTTGGAATGTTCAGTTTTTTTTTGTCGAATAACCTGAGGCAGGTTGCTAAAGAAGGCCATAAACATTTGTTTTGTAACAAAAATAAATTTGCTGGAAAAAGTGAGGAAGATGATCTATTGTAATTTATATTTGTAGGAATTTCATATTCAATTCTGTAGTAATTTGAAAAGTAAAAATGTTCCGTAGCATTTATAACTGGGATTTAAAAATAAACAAACACCTTTCACTAGTTTAGCACAACGTTTAATACATTAAAAATGCTTTTGACTGATTTAAGCGATCTTCTTCAGTTCAGATTCTCTCAATATAACGAACAAGGTATTCAAATACTTTGTTCGTTATATTGAGAGAATCTGAACTGAAGAAGATCGCTTAAATCAGTCAAAAGCATTTTTAATGTATTAAACGTTGTGCTAAACTAGTGAAAGGTGTTTGTTTATTTTTAAATTATTTAATTAGTTCCAGTAAGCATTTGTTTATAACTGGGATTCCAAACAGGGTCGATATAGCTCCCGAGTAAATGGAATTTCGAAAGAGGTTGATGGAATTCAAGAGTCAATTAAAGGTCAATGAAAAATCAGATAATTATTACAGTAGAGTGTCGATTATCCGAAAGTCCATCATCCAAAAGAATTCCAGTCTGCAAATTTAAATTTTTGCCAGTGCTGTGGAGCTGCAATCTTTGGCTATGTCTTGGGCTACTCAAATATTTTACATTTTTTATACTAAATTAACATCTGAAGTATAATTTTTTATTGTTTTTATATTTTTCAATATATTTATTTTGTTCGTACAAAATAAAAAAATAATTTTTAACGATACAATAGTCTTCGTTAGNACCATAAACCCATTTACAATACAATTTTCATCCTGGCCTGGACATAAAAATATTCAAATTTTGTGATAAAGACATTAAACAATATGACATAGTTGAACATAAAATATATTGTATAGTCACAAAAAAATTGTTGTCTTGAGTGATAAGTATATGTTATTGTATAAATGTTATCGTTATGTATTATCATGTGTGTTCTACTACAACAAACCTCAAAATTACACATTGCATTCTTATCAACCTACACTCTTCTTAATCCAGACCAGTTTTATTTGTTTTGTAACTAAATATTTCAGCCAAAAACAAAAAGAAATCATGAATTAATTTTAAAAAATGTCAAATTTGTAAAATTAATATGTACAGTACTACATATTTTA